ACTTACGTAATTAACATGATAAAATCAGTTTTGTGGTTTTGAAAGAATCACGTCATCAAATCAGTTTTGTGAATTTGAAAGAATTCGCAATGGACAACGAGCAAGAAAATATATTTTTTCTATACGCAATTTTATTAGCAAGAAAAGTTATTTCGGCTTTTCATTAACGAGTATGGTATAGGTTTATGAAAATTAAAACACATTTAACTCTAATTTCCTTTCAAGTCTACCTGAAAGGCTAGTAACGTACGGAACATTGTGCAACAAAAAACGGATGAAAATATCTCTTTTCGTTTGAAAGTTGTGTTATTTTTAGGTAAAATATTGAAAATTGATTTTTTTGTTTTACATGAAACTGAAATATCTCAAAAAGTAGGTACTGATGGTATATTTGTCCTTGTACGTGTTGTATATTTCGATTAGGAAAACACACAAAAGTGAAAATGTATAAATGTACGGATTGCCGATTACGCTCGCCAAACTTGGTTAAAAAAGCTTTTTTCTTCTTAGTCAATTGATAAATTGTGCAACTTCGTTTTTTTCACATGCGCATTCAAAGAAACTATCAATATTAAGTTGAAAAAAATATGTACTAATTTGGATCGAAATCATGACAAATTTGATCAAAACCATGACAAATTTCTAGACACTTAACTGATCCATGTCAATCGCTTAACCAAACTATACCAATTTCGATATTTTGGTTATCCTGCATTAATTTCTTAAAAACAACAATTTCAATTTAGATCGTTTGACTTACAATATAGATTTAAATATTATATTGTTTTTTATTTGTCATTTGAATAGAACTGAAGCAGTAACCTAACTTATCCATGACATACTTGATTAAACTATGACAAAATCACTGTACTAAACGCTCCTCGATATGAGGAGGTTACTATCCGTGAACATAGGATAAAACTACAAGTTCATTATCAAGGCCGTTGGTCCCCATTGTCACTGCAAAATACCCAAATGGATCTATCACCTTTAGTGTATGAGTTATTGGTAAAAAGGTTTTTCAAAAACTGTCAATTGGGGTGGTCAAAATATTACACGGTTCCCAATAATGACCCAAACATTTCCCACTATTCAAACTTAACAGAAGTGGGGTATTCTTTCAGCTGTACAGGATATCTAAATATGCAGCCAAGTCTTGTCAGCATCGTCAGAATGAAATCTGAAATCCGGTACCTTTTTTGTAAAAAGTGCTGCGTTTTCTGCACATTAAAGATCCATTGTAACAACTCTTTGAGGTATCCCGTTTCAAGGCAAAAATTATGTCCTTATCTAATATACCCTTATTTTCCCATCGTTTTATTACTTGTTTCAAAGATGACGATAGATATCTCGTCCCCTCAAATGTGACCTACCGAATTACAGATATCACCGGATTTGTACTTAAATGAGCAACACGACGGGTGCCACATGTGGAGAAGGATCTGCTTACCCTTCAAGAGCAATAAGATCACCCCAAGTTTTTGGTGGGGTTCGTGTTGCTCAGTCTCTGATTTTCTATGTTAGTTTGTGTACTGTTGTTTTTCTGTTTGTCTTTTTCTTTTTTGGCCATGGAGTTATCAGTTTGTTTTCGACTTGTGAGTTTGAGTGTCCCTTTGGTATCCTTTGCCTCTCTTTTACTACCAATGGGTCAATGTCTCTGCTGGTTGACATTTTATCCACGAGGACATCATCCGCTCAGTAGCATAATATACCTGAACATACGAATATAAAATAGAATACTGGCTCGGACGTCGCCTAGTATAATAACGTCCGCAAATGACGGCACCATGGACACGGTGTCGTCTGATATGTCAGTTGTCCCCTTATCACCAGACAAGACAAATATCTCAAGTACGACACATTCAGATCATTATACAAATGACAACATCAATAATCCTTGTACGCAATGTGAAACTAAAAACTGCAAAACCTGTAAAATGTTAATAACAGATGATCATTTCCAAGCAATCTAACAAAGAAATCTTATTTTACCAGAAACTACGATGATCTGAATTTTATATCAACAAATCTCGTCTACGAATTAGAATGTAACCTTTGCAGATAGGTATATGTCGGTGAAACGAAAGGACGGCTTTATAAACGTATGTGCTGCCATATATCAACAATAATAAGTTGTAAATTTATGAGCTTCTACTTTTTATTTATAAATCTATAACGTTTTTTTCTATGTCGAATATAGCTTATGAATGGTAATACTTTTAAATTAACAAATATCAAAAATTACTATTTTCAAATGGTATTCACAAAAGATAGTTGCCGTACAATTCTGATATTGTCGTGGATTTTAAATGAAATAAAAGTAGAAGCAACTCCCATGCTATTACGTTTTTGGTCAATGGTAGATGAGCCATATTTTTTTATGCTTTGAAATAATTGGCAGGACAAAATTCTGTTCACGTTCGTCGTTCTTAGTACGTTCTTCTGCATTTTATTTCAAGTAGAATTTCGGTAACTACTAATCACAGATTATAAAAAAAAATCCTAACACTAACACTAACACTATGAGTACACTATACTGTAGGACTAGGATTTTTGTAATTAATTTTGAAATATAGAAATGTAATGTAAGGCTATGTCATGCAGCAATGCAACTATAAAAGATATTAGCTAAATGAAAGATTTTGTGCTTGAAATATTAGTTGTATGGAACGATTTACCAATTAAGTTCAAATTTATCTTTATTTCTCTAAGCTTTAGAAAATTTAATCGAACAAAATAATTGAGTGTATCAAATTTTAAGAAACATGTAGGGACTGCTTGTGTATTTCAGGGAAAATTTGTGAATGACCGAAGATGGCTTGCATAGGATATCTGTTTGAGATTTGTTTTATTTCTTACTGTTTATCGTAGGCGGACCTTATACTTGATTTGATTGAAATGTCATTAAGTACATGTAGTATACAAGGTTATATCTTAACAAACAACAAGTAAATTTCGTGTGAAATTCACCTGCTGCATTTTGTAACTGTTGAATCAATCTTGATGAGTGTTTTCATATAGATAGCCGACTATTGAGCAAACTTTTCAACCAATACCGTTTTGAACAGATGCAGCAGTATATATTTTGTCTAAAGGTTTCGTTAAAAAACGGACAATTTACAATGGTTGTAACAAATGACTCATGAAACACAGGTGCTAGTCAACCATCATCAATCGGTTAGTACTGGAAATATTGTACTTTAACATTCCTGCGCCCTCGAATCATAAAACAGAACTAAAACACTCAGGATAAAATGATTATGTGGGTTTTCACAACAAGACAGGAATTCGATTATTTTCCTATGCTAAGATATATAGAGTTTTGACTTTTTCCGTTTCAAACAATGAACCACCGATTTTGTCTTCATTGTCTTTCTTATCAGAAAAAAGCAATCACCATCACGTCAAGGGTTAATTATAATATGTCTCCGCCTGCAAATGCATAAAATCCGATTACTTCGATATTTTCTCTCCCGTTCATTTTTTTTAAATACGTTGTACAGTATTAGGCTTGACACTGTTGTTATCATCAATTTTATCTATATTTTCTTACAAGTTCTTGATGTATAGTGCACATGCTATGTACACGGTGTATATTCAGAATGCTTGTTTTCCGATTCAATCGCCAGTAACGCTTGTTTTCCGATTCAATCGCCAGTAATGCTTGCTTTCCGATTCCGGAAACGCATACTTTCCGGTATAACTAAAGAAAATTACAAAAAGGGTTGAAAGATAGGTTGCTGCAATCTTTAAGAAAATATCAAATTACAATTGCCTTAAATGACATTCATTTGAACAAAACAAATAACCATGTTTCCAATTTCATAATCTGCTGTTTCTTATAAATATTAACAATCTCATCCTTTATAAATCAATCTATTTAAACACTCTTTCTGTTTAAAGGTTTTATATTTGATGAATATACAACATAACAGACCACAACTGATTTAACATGTTAATCAGGTTTATTCTCCGTTTTCTTAAATTTGACTTGTAACGCTTACTATAAGATTTGAGGGTTGCAAGTTCTGTCGAATATAATATGTCCAAACATGTTTCATTGTAGCTATTGCTAATGAACGATCATTCAAAAAGGAGCCCGGTTGGGTGTTTGAGTTTTGCTATGATATATTATGATTTCAATCAATGAAGGAACACATATTTTGATCTTGGAGAAAGATAAAGTAAACAAATATTCTGATTGAGTTTTGTTGTCGTTTAATTTGATATTAAGTTTTCAGTATAATAAATAAAGATTTGATGCCTACCGGTCACGAAAATAAAATTTCAGAAGAAAATTGAAGAAATCAATCAATAACCCCATACGTGTCTCTTATTTTTCAACATTCCAGCCTTGATCGGCCTATTGGATATTTTCTTTTCCTTTTAATTTCGTGTTTTTAAATTCTAAAAGAAAGATATATTCATTTCCACATTTTCCATAAAATATATCAGTTACATTTCAATATGAATGCCGACCGATAGAAAATTTACGAATTGATAATTCTGAGAAAAAGGAGACCTGAAATTTCAGTAAAAAATAATCAGCTGACAGAAAAGAGACTAAGTGGACGTCTAATTGATACTTGTAATAAAAGGGATGATTCTGACATAGCAGCAACTTGCAAAGTCAATAAACTGCTGTCCACAGGCAGTTGAAAATAAACATTCTACTTCAAAGGAACACTGTGCATTAAAAAAAAATATTATTCTTCACGGTAACAAATTTCATCAAATAGACATAACAGGGAAATTTAACTGACTCGCTGCAATTTATTAATTTGAATAAAATACTCAGTTATGACTTCGAACATACGGATTTTTTTGAGATAAGTGAAAAACACAACAATGACGGAAAATTCGTTTGTCTTTGCTGAGATCTTTAAACATATATTTTGCATCGTCTCCTTTTAACCTTGTATGTCAAATACAACAAAAATGTGTTGAAAAATAAAATTAAATTGTAAGTCAATTAACAATCAAATCATGCAAATACTCACCAATATAAATTTTTGCCTCTTCTGAAAAATAGGAAAATAAAATTTTATTTTATTTCTTGTTGTTTATTAAATGATATTTGATTTATGATTGATTACGTTTGGTTTGGTTCAAAACTGAAATTCATTGAGACTTAAGCTTAGGAATATGAACTTGCTTGATTCTTAGATAAATAAGATGCATTGGAATGTGGTAAACGCGTTTGATGTTGCTTAAATGTATTTTCTAAACGTTGATATGAGAACATGACACATTAAGAAAATATGCATCCAATCGTCGTGAAGATTTACTAGAATAGTAAACCAACTATTGGTGACAATTACTAGAGTTATCTAAGTCATTTAACAATTTAGTTTACTGTAGTCTTTATTTTGTCAGCTTAAAAATAAGCTAAATCGGGAAAATCAATTCAATGTATCAAACTTGTAGTTAGGGACATGTTAGGAATGGTTTTGCTTTTCAGGTTGAATATTTTAGTGACCGTAGATGGTTTTTATATGACGTCTGCTTCAGATTTGACTTCTTTGTTGATTAATATCGTGTGTGCACCATATGCTTGTTTAAAATAGAGGTGTCATTTAAATAATACAAAAGAACAAACAAAACACTATTGAATAGGCGGTTGTTCCTAACAAGACAGTTATTCGATTATTCTTCTATGACAAGATAACTAGAGTGTAGACATTTCCCGTTTAAAAACAGACATCAACGGTACTAGGCGTTTTATCAGTGTTTTTTTCTTTTTTTCTTGTATGCAAAAACGTCAATTTACGTCAATGGATTAACTATAATACTTGGATTTAACCATTCCTGACGAATATAAATTTAGAAAAGTGCTTCGGACACATGGAATAGTTAAGTTTTGTTTTCATTTACTGACATTGGGTCAATACCACTTATGATGGCCTGCTAGTCCCTAAGGATGTCATAAGGTCAGTAATTAGTTATTTAATACTGGCATGAGTTATATTTTTTTTTAAATTAAGAAACTACTAAGAATCTTTTGTTGAAACTCCCTCAGATAAAACAGCCGAATTTTGGCTTTACTTTTCATGTCCTTATTGGTAGTATCGGTCCTAACGTTTGTACATATTTATACATTCTTAGTCATACAGGCATATTTTCGTTTAATCGTTCACGGTGAAGGCAATTCAAGAAAAACGCGCCGGACGCTTGATATGTATAAAGTGTGGGTTTTTTTTTTTCATTCGCGAAGGAGCAACATTGGCTTATTTTGTTAAATAGTGAAACCTGCATGTTCATGATTAATATTTTCTTATTGTATACTTTAAAATACACACCTGTTTATTCAGAAGTAAATTTGAACTTCTTTAAAATAAATGTTTGAATTTCGTAAAAACATTGTTGGTTTCTTCAATTTTTTTTTTTCATGTTTTTCAAACAGTGGCGACAGTGATCATTACATTAACAACAAATGACACGTTTGAGTCACACTGAGTTGCAACGTGTTGAGTAAAGTTGTAGCTTATGTGACCTTGCAGGCAATAAGTAGTAACTTTATGACCTACTACTTTTTATTCATAAATCTAAAACGTTTTTTGATGTTGGATATCGCTTTTCAATGATAATACTTTCAAATTAACAAATATTAAAAATACTATTTTTAAATGGTATTTACAAAAGATAGTTGCCGCAAAATTCTGATATTGTCGTGGATTTTAAATGAAATAAAGTAGAAGCAACTCCCATGCTATTACGTTTTTGACCAATGGTAGATAAACCATATTTTTTTGTGCTTTGAAATAATTGGAGGGACAAAATTCTGTTAACATTCGTCGTTCTAAGTACGTTATTCTGCATGTTATTTCAAGTAGAATTTCGGTAACTACTAATCACAGATTATAAAAAAAATCCTAACACTAACATTAACACTAAAAGTGCATTATACTGTAGATCTAGAATTAATTTTGCAATATAGAAATGTAAAGTAAGGCTATGTCATGCAGTCATGCCACTATAATATATATTGAAAGATTTTGTGCTTGAAATATTAGTAGTATGGAACGATTTACCAATTAAGTTCAAATTTATCTTTATTATCTCTTTGAGTGTATCAATTTTTAAGGACATGTAGGGACTGCTTGTGCATTTCAGGGAAAATTTGTGAATGACCGAAGATGGCTTGCATAGGATATCTGCTTGAGATTTTTTTTAATTGTTACTGTTTATCGTAGGCAGATTGAACTGTCATACAGTACATGTATTATACAAGGTTATATCTTAACAAACAACAAGTAAATTTTGTGTGAAATTCACCTGCTGCATTTTGTAATTGTTGAATCAATCTTGATGAGTGTTTTCATATAGACAGCCGACTATTGAGCACACTTTTCAACCAATACCGTTTTGAACAGATGCAGCAGTATATATTCTGTCTAAAGGTGTCGTTAAAAAACGGACAATTTACAATGGTTGTAACAAATGACTCATGAAACACAGGTGCTAGTCAACCATCATCAATCGGTTAGTACTGAAAATATTGTAGCCCATGTCACAAGTACATGCACTTTAACATTCCTGTCCCCTCAAATTATAAAACAGAACTGAAACACTCAGGATAAAATGATAAGGTGGGTTTTCACAACAAGACAGGAATTTGATTAATCTCCTATGCTAAGATATATAGAGTTTTGACTTTTCCGTTTCAAACAATGAACCACCGAATTTGTCTTCATTGTCTTTCTTGTCAGAAAGAAACAATCACCATCACGTCAAGGGTTAATTATAATATGTTTCCGCCTGTCAATGCATAAAATCCGATTACTTCGATATTTTCTCTCCCGTTCACTTTTTTTTAAATACGTTGTACAGGGTTAGGCTTGACACTGATGTCATCATCAATCTTATCTATATTTTCTTACAAGTTCTTGATGTATAGTACACATGCTATCTACACGGTGTATATTCAGAATGATTGCTTTCCGATTCAATCACCGGTAACGCTTGTTTTCAGATTCAAACGCAAGTAATGCTTGTTTTCCGATTCCGGAAACGCATATTTTCCAGTATAACAACAAAAATTACAAAAAGGGTTGACATATATGTTGCTACAATCTTTAAGAAAATATCAAATTACAATTGCCTTAAATGACATTCAATTTGACGGAACAAAACAAATAACCATGTTTTCAATTTCATAATCTGCTGTTTTTTTAAAGGTTAAATGAAAAATTAATTCGATTACACTAGAACTGCGTTGTATTGCAAAACAGACTTTGCAGCCAAACATATCCAAATATTAACAATCTCATCCTTTATAAATCAATCTATTTAAACACTGTATCTGTTCAAAGGTTTTATATTTGATGAATATACAACATATCAGACCACAAATGATTTAACATGTTAATCAGGTTTATTCTCCGTTTTCTTAAATTTGACTTGTAACGCTTACTATAAGATTTGAGGGTTGCAAGTTCATTCGAATATAATATGTCCAAACATGTTTCATTGTAGCTATTGTTTACATTAATGAACGATCATTTAAAAAGGGGCCCGGTTGGATGTATTGAGTTTTTCTATGATATATTATGATTTCCATCAATGAAGGAACACATATTTTGATCTTGGAAAATGATAAAGTAAAAAAAATATTCTGATTGAGTTTTGTTGTCGTTTAATTTGATATTAAGTTTTCAATATAATAAATAATGATTTGATGCCTACCGGGTACGAAAAAAAACTTTCAGAAAAAAATTTAAAAAATCAATCAATAACCCCATATGTGCCTCTAACTTTTCAACATTCCAGCCTTGATCGGCCTATTGGATATTTTCTTTTCCTGTTCCTATTTGCGTGTTCTTAAATTCTAAAAGAAAGATATATTCATTTCCACATTTTCCATAAAATATATCGGTTACATTTCAATATAAACGTCGACCGATAGAAAACTTACGAATTGATAATTCTGCGAAAAGGGAGACCTTAAATTTTAGCAAAAAACAATCAGCTGACAGAAAAGAGACTAAGTGGACGTCTAATTGGTACTTGTAATAAAAGGTATGATTCTGACATAGCAGCAACTTGCAAAAGTCAATATACTGCTGTCCACAGGCAGTTGAAAATAAACAATCTAGTTCAAAGGAACACTGTGCATGAAAAATGACATTATTATTCTTCACGGTACCAAATTTCATCAAATGGAAATAACAAGGAAATTAAACTGACTCGCTGCAATTTATTAATTTGAATAAAATACTCAGTTATGACTTCGAACATACGGATTTTTTTTAGATAAGTGAAAAACATAACAATGACGCAAAATTCGTTTGTCTTTGCTGAAGAATTTAAACACATTTTTTTCATCGTCACCTTTCAACTGTTTATGTAAAGTACAACAAAAATGTCTTCAAAAAAAAGATAATTAAATTGTAAATCAATAAACAATCAAATCATGCCAATACTCACCACTTAGTGTACTCTGTACTGCTGAAAATTAGGAAAATATTTTTTTATATTTAATATTGTTTATAAAATTATACTTGATTTAGGGTTGATTACGTTTGGTTTGGTTAAACACTCAAATTCATTGAGACTAAAGCTTAGGAATATGATCTTGCATAACTTCTAACAGTAAACTAACTATTGGTGACTCTTACTAGTGTTATGTAGTCGTTTACAAATTTAGTTAAGAGTAATTTTTATTTTGTCAATTTAAAATTAAGCTAAATCGAGAAAGTCAATTCAATGAATAAACATTAAGCTAGAGACATGTAAGGACTGCTTGCGCTTTTCATGTTAAATGTGTGAGTGAGCCAGGATGGCTTGTAAATGACGTTCGCTTGATATTGGTCTTGATTGTTAATTAATATCGATTGTTTGATTGTGCACCTTATGACTGTTTTATATAGATGTGTCATTTTAGTTATACAAAATATCTAACAAAACATTACTGATAATATTATCTTTTCTGAAAAATAGGAAAATAAAATTTTATTTTATTTCTTGTTGTTTATTAAATGATATTTGATTTATGATTGATTACGTTTGGTTTGGTTCAAAACTGAAATTCATTGAGACTTAAGCTTAGGAATATGAACTTGCTTGATTCTTAGATAAATATGATGCATTTGAATGTGGTAACCGTGTTTGATGTTGCTTAAATGTATTTTCTAAACGTTGATATGAGAACATGACACATTAAGAAAATATGCATCCAATCGTCGTGAAGATTTACTAGAATAGTAAACCAACTATTGGTGACAATTACTAGAGTTATCTAAGTCATTCAACAATTTAGTTTACTGTAGTCTTTATTTTGTCAGCTTAAAAATAAGCTAAATCGGGAAAATCAATTCAATGTATCAAACTTGTAGTTAGGGACATGTTAGGATTGGTTTTGCTTTTCAGGTTAAATATTTTAGTGACCGTAGATGGTTTTTATATGATTAATATCATGTTGGCAACATATGCTTGTTTAAAATAGAGGTGTCATTTAAATAATACAAAAGAACAAACAAAACACTATTGAAAGGGCGGTTATTCCTAACAAGACAGTTATTCAATTATTCTTCTATGACAAGATAACTAGAGTGTAGACATTTCCCGTTTAAAAACAGACAACAACGGTGCTAGGCGTTTTATCAGTGTGGTTTTTTTTTTCTTGTCTGCAAAAACGTCAATTTACGTCAATGGATTAACTATAATACTTGGATTTAACCATTCCTGATGAATATAAATTCAGAAAAGTGCGTCGGACACATGGCTTGGTAAAGTTTTGTTTTCATTTACTTACATTGGGTCAATACCACTTATGATGGCCTGTTAGTCCCTAAGGGTGTCATAAGGTCAGTAATTAGTTATTCAATACTGGCATGAGTTATATTTTTTTTTCTAAATTAAGAAATTACTAAGAATCTTTTGTTGAAACTCCCTCATATAAAACAGCCGAATTTTGGCTTTACTTTTCATGTCCTTATTGGTAGTATCGGTCCTAACGTTTGTACATATTTATACATTCTTGGTCATACAGGCATATTTTCGTTTAATAGTTCACGGTGAAGGCAATTCAAGAAAAACGCGTCGGACGCTTGATATGTATAAAGTGTGGGTTTTTTTTTCATTCGCGAAGGAGCAACATTGGCTTATTTTGTTAAACGTAATATTATCGTTATTTCTATGACACAAACTTGGCTAGTTTAAATAGTGAAACCTGCATGTTCATGATTAATATTTTCTTATTTTTTACTTTAAAATACACACTTGTTTATTCAGAAGTAAATTTGAACTTCTTTAAAATAAATGTTTGAATTTCGTAAAAACATTGTTGGTTTCTTCAATGTTTATTATTTTTTTTATTAATTCATGTTTTTCAAACAGTGGTAACTGTGATCATTACTTTAACAACAAATGACACGTTTGAGTCACACTGAGTTGCAACGTGTTGAGTAAAGTTGTAGCTTATGTGACCTTGCAGGCAAGAAGTAATAAATTTATGACCTACTACTTTTTATTCATAAATCCAAAACGTTTTTTGATGTTTGATATCGCTTTTCAATGATAATACTTTCAAATTAACAAATATTAAAAATACTATTTTTAAATGGTATTTACAAAAGATAGTTGCCGCAAAATTCTGATATCGTCGTGGATTTTAAATGAAATAAAGTAGAAGCAACTCCCATGCTATTACGTTTTTGACCAATGGTAGATAAACCATATTTTTTTATGCTTTGAAATAATTGGCGGGACAAAATTCTGTTCACATTCGTCGTTCTGAGTACGTTCTTCTGCATGTTATTTCAAGTAGTATTTCGGTAACTACTAATCACAGATTGTAAAAAAAATCCTAACACTAACATTAACACTAAGAGTGCATTATACTGTAGATCTAGAACTAATTTTGCAATATAGAAATGTAATGTAAGGCTATGTCATGCAGTCATGCAACTATAATTTATATTGAAAGATTTTGTGCTTGAAATATTAGTACTATGAAACGATTTACCAATTAAGTTCAAATTGATCTTTATTTCTCCAAGCTTTAGAAAAAATTAATCGAAAAAAATAATTGAGTGTATCAATTTTTAAGGACATGTAGGGACTGCTTGTGCATTTCAGGGAAAATTTGTAAATGACTGAAGATGGCTTGCATAGGATATCTGCTTGAGATTTGTTTTAATTGTTACTGTTTATCGTAGGCAGATTGAACTGTCATTAAGTACATGTATTATACAAGGTTATATCTTAACAAACAACAAGTAAATTTCGTGTGAAATTCACCTGCTGCATTTTGTAATTGTTGAATCAATCTTGATGAGTGTTTTCATATAGACAGCCGACTATTGAGCACACTTTTCAACCAATACCGAATTGAGCAGATGCAGCAGTATAAATTCTGTCTAAAGGTGTCGTTAAAAAACGGACAATTTACAATGGTTGTAACAAATGACTCATGAAACACAGGTGCTAGTCAACCATCATCAATCGGTTAGTACTGAAAATATTGTAGCCCATGTCACAGGTACATGCACTTTAACATTCCTGTCATCTCGAATTATAAAACAGAACTGAAACACTCAGGATAAAATGATAAGGAGGGTTTTCACAACAAGACAGGAATTTGATTAATCTCCTATGCTAAGATATATAGAGTTTTGACTTTTCCGTTTCAAACAATGAACCACCGAATTTGTCTTCATTGTTTTCTTGTCAGAAAGAACAATCACCATCACGTCAAGTGTTAATTATAATATGTTTCCGCCTGTCAATGCATAAAATCCGATTACTTCGATATTTTCTATCCCGTTCACTTTTTTTTAAATACGTTGTACAGGGTTAGGCTTGACACTGATGTTATCATCAATCTTATCTATATTTTCTTACAAGTTCTTGATGTATAGTACACATGCTATCTACACGGTGTATATTCAGAATGCTTGCTTTCCGATTCAATCACCGGTAACGCTTGTTTTCAGATTCAAACGCCAGTAATGCTTGCTTTCCGATTGCGGAAACGCATACTTTCCAGTATAACAACAAAAATTACAAAAAGGGTTGACAGATAGGTTGCTACAATCTTTAAGAAAATATCAAATTACAATTGCCTTAAATGACATTGACGGAACAAAACAAATAACCATGTTTCCAATTTCATAATCTGCTGTTTTTTTAAAGGTTAAATGAAAAAGTAATTTCGATTACACTAGAACTGCGTTGTTTTGCAAAACAGACTTTGCAGCCAAACATATCCAAATATTAACAATCTCATCCTTTATAAATCAATCTATTTAAACACTCTTTCTGTTTAAAGGTTTTATATTTGATGAATATACAACATATCAGACCACAACTGATTTAACATGTTAATCAGGTTTATTCTCCGTTTTCTTAAATTTGACTTGTAACGCTTACTATAAGATTTGAGGGTTGCAAGTTCATTCGAATATAATATGTCCAAACATGTTTCATTGTAGCTATTGTTTACATTAATGAGCGATCATTTAAAAAGGGGCCCGGTTGGATGTTTTGAGTTTTTTCTATGATTTCCATCAATGAAGGAACACATATTTTGATCTTGGAGAATGATAAAGTAAAAAAAATATTTTGATTGAGTTTTGTTGTCATTTAATTTGATATTAAGTTTTCAATATAATAAATAAAGATTTGATGACTATCGGGTACGAAAAAAAAACTTTCAGAAAAAAATTTAAAAAATCAATCAATAACCCAATATTTGTCTCTAATTTTTCAACATTCCAGCCTTGATCGGCCTATTGGATATTTTCTTTTCCTGTTCCTATTTGCGTGTTCTTAAATTCTAAAAGAAAGATATATTCATTTCCACATTTTCCATAAAATATATCGGTTGCATTTCAATATAATATCGACCGATAGAAAATTGACGAATTCATAATTCTGCGAAAAGGGAGACCTTAAATTTTAGCAAAAAACAATCAGCTGACAGAAAAGAGACTAAGTGGACGTCTAATTTGTACTTGTAATAAAAGGTATGATTCTGACATAGCAGCAACTTGCAAAAGTCAATATACTGCTGTCCACAGGCAGTTGAAAATAAACAATCTAGTTCAAGGGAACACTGTGCATGAAACATTACATTATTATTCTTCACGGTACAAAACTTCATCAAATGGAAATAACAGGGAAATTAAACTGACTCGCTACAATTTATTAATTTGAATAAAATACTCAGTTATGACTTCGAACATACGGATTTTTTTTAGATAAGTGAAAAACATAACAATGACGCAAAATTCGTTTGTCTTTGCTGAAGAATTTAAACACATTTTTTTCATCGTCACCTTTCAACTTTTTATGTAAAGTACAACAAAAATATCTTCAAAAAAAAGATAATTAAATTGTAAATCAATAAACAATCAAATCATGCCAATACTCACCACTTAGTGTACTCTGTTCTGCTGAAAAAATAGGAAAATATTTTTTTATATTTAATATTGTTTATAAAATTATACTTGATTTAGTAGATTACGTTTGGTTTGGTTAAACACTCAAATTCATTGAGACTAAAGCTTAGGAATATGATCTTGCATAACTTCTAACAGTAAACTAACTATTGGTGACTCTTACTAGTGTTATGTAGTCGTTTACAAATTTAGTTAAGTGTAATTTTTATTTTGTCAATTTAAAATTAAGCTAAATCGAGAAAGTCAATTCAATGTATAAACATTAAGCTAGAGACATGTAAGGACTGCTTGTGCTTTTCATGCTAAATGTGTGAGTGAGCCAGGATGGCTTGTTAATGACGTCCGCTTGATATTGGTCTTGATTATTAATTAATATCGATTGTTTGGTTGTGCACCTTATGACTGTTTTATATAGATGTGTCATTTTAGTTATACAAAATATCTAACAAAACATTACTTATAATATTATCTTTTCTGAAAAATAGGAAAATAAAATCTTATTTTATTTCTTGTTGTTTATTAAATGATATTTGATTTATGATTGATTACGTTTGGTTTGGTTCAAAACTGAAATTCATTGAGACTTAATCTTAGGGATATGAACTTGCTTGATTCTTAGATAAATAAGATGCATTTGAATGTGGTAACCGTGTTTGATGTTGCTTAAATGTATTTTCTAAACGTTGATATGAGAACATGACACATTAAGAAAATATGCATCCAATCGTCGTGAAGATTTACTAGAAGAGTAAACCAACTATTGGTGACAATTACTAGAGTTATCTAAGTCATTCAACAATTTAGTTTACTGTAGTCTTTATTTTGTCAGCTTAAAAATAAGCTAAATCGGGAAAATCAATTCAATGTATCAAACTTGTAGTTAGGGACATGTTAGGATTGGTTTTGCTTTTCAGGTTGAATATTTTAGTGACCGTAGATGGTTTTTATATGACGTCCGCTTCAGATTCGACTTCTTTGTTGATTAATATCGTGTTAGCAACATATGCTTGTTTAAAATAGAGGTGTCATTTAAATAATACAAAAGAACAAACAAAACACTATTGAATAGGCGGTTATTCCTAACAAGACAGTTATTCAATTATTCTTCTATGACAAGATAACTAGAGTGTAGACATTTCCCGTTTAAAACAGACAACAACGGTGCTAGGTGTTATATCAGTGTGGTTTTTTTTTCTTGTCTGCAAAAACGTCAATTTACGTCAATGGATTAACTATAATACTTGGATTTAACCATTCCTGACGAATATAAATTCAGAAAAGTGCTACACATGGGATAGTAAAGTTTTGTTTTCATTTACTTACATTGGGTCAATACCACTTATGATGGCCTGTTAGTCCCTAAGGGTGTCATTAGGTCAGTAATTAGTTATTCAATACTGGCATGAGTTTTATTTTTTTTTTTCTAAATTAAGAAATTACTAAGAATCTTTTGTTGAAACTCCCTCAGATAAAACAGCCGAATTTTGGCTTTACTTTTCATGTCCTTATTGGTAGTATCGGTCCTAACGTTTGTACATATTTATACATTCTTGGTCATACAGGCATAATTTCGTTTAATCGTTCACGGTGAAGGCAATTCAAGAAAAACGCGTCGGACGCTTGATATGTATAAATAGTGGGTTTTTTTTTTCATTCGCGAAGGAGCAACATTGGCTTATTTTGTTAAACGTAATATTATCGTTATTCCTATGACACAAACTTGGCTAGTTTAAAAAGTGAAACCTGCATGTTCATGATTAATATTTTCTTATTGTATACTTTAAAATACACATTTGTTTATTCAGAAGTAAATTTGAACTTCTTTAAAATAAATGTTTGAATTTCGTAAAAACATTGTTGGTTTCTTCAATTTTTATTATATTTTTTATTAATTCATGTTTTTCAAACAGTGGTGACTGTGATCATTACATTAACAACAAATGATACGTTTGAGTCACACTGAGTTGCAACGTGTTGAGTAAAGTTGTAGCTTATGTGACCTTGCAGGCAAGAAGTAATACATTTATGACCTACTACTTTTTATTCATAAATCCAAAACGTTTTTTGATGTTTGATATCGCTTTTCAATGATAATACTATTTTTAAATGGTATTTACAAAAGATAGTTGCCGCAAAATTCTGATATTGTCGTGGATTTTAAATGAAATAAAGTAGAAGCAACTCCCATGCTATTACGTTTTTGACCAATGGTAGATAAACCATATTTTTTATGCTTTGAAATAATTTGCGGGACAAAATTCTGTTCACATTCGTCGTTCAAAGTACGTTCTTCTGCATGTTATTTCAAGTACCATTTCGGTAACTACTAATCACAGATTATAAAAAAAATCCTAACACTAACATTAACACTAAGAGTGCATTATACTGTAGATCTAGAACTAATTTTGCAATATAGAAATGTAATGTAAGGCTATGTCATGCAGTCATGCAACTATAATATATATTGAAAGCTTTTGTGCTTGAAATATTAGTAGTATGAAACGATTTACCAATTAAGTTCAAATTTATCTTTATTTCTCCAAGCTTTAGAAAATTTAATCGATAAAAATAATTGAGTGTATCAATTTTTAAGGACATGTAGGGACTGCTTGTCCATTTCAGGGAAAATTTGTAAATGACCGCAGATGGCTTGCATAGGATGTCTGCTTGAGATTTGTTTTAATTGTTACTGTTTATCGTAGGCAGATTGAACTGTCATTAAGTACATGTATTATACAAGGTTATATCTTAACAAACAACAAGTAAATTTCGTGTGAAATTTACCTGCTGCATTTTGTAATTGTTGAATCAATCTTGATGAGTGTTTTCATATAGATAGCCGACTATTGAGCACACTTTTCAACCAATACCGAATTGAGCAGATGCAGCAGTATATATTCTGTCTAAAGGTGTCGTTAAAAACGGACAATTTACAATGGTTGTAACAAATGACTCTAACACAGGTGCTAGTCAACCATTATCAATCGGTTAGTACTGAAAATATTGTAGCCCATGTCACAAGTAGATGCAATTTACCATTACTGTCCCCTCGAATTATAAAACAGAACTGAAACACTCAGGATAAAATGATAAGGTGGGTTTTCACAACAAGACAGGAATTTGATTTGATAGAGTTTTGACTTTTCCGTTTCAAACAATGAACCACCGAATTTGTCTTCATTGTCTTTCTTGTCAGAAAAAAGCAATCACCATTACGTCAAGGGTTAATTATAATATGTCTCCGCCTGCAAATGCATAAAATCCGATTACTTCGATATTTTCTCTCCCGTTCATTTTTTTTAAATACGTTGTACAGGGTTAGGCTTGACACTGCTGTTATCATCAATGTTATCTATATTTTCTTACAAGTTCTTGATGTATAGTGCACATGCTATGTACACGGTGTATATTCAGAATGCTTCTTTTCCGATTCAATCGCCGGTAACGCTTGTTTTCCGATTCAATCGCCAGTAATGCTTGCTTTCCGATTCCGGAAACTCATACTTTCCGGTATAACTAAAGAAAATTACAAAAAGGATTGAAAGATAGGTTGCTGCAATCTTAAAGAAAATATCGAATTACAATTGCCTTAAATGACATTCAATTTGAACAAAACAAATAACCATGTTTCCAATTTCATAATCTGCTGTTTCTTTAAAGGTTAAATGAAAAAGTAATTTCGGTTACACTAGAACTGCGTTGTATTGCAAAACAGACTTTGCAGCCAAACATATCCAAATATTAACAATCTCATCCGTTATAAATCAATCTTTTTAAACACTGTTTCTGTTTAAAGGTTTTATATTTCATGAATATACAACATATTAGACCACAAATGATTTAATATGTTAATCAGGTTTATTCTTAAATTTGACTTGTAACGCTTACTATAAGATTTGAGGGTTGCAAGTTCAGTCGAATATAATATGTCCAAACATGTTTCATTGTAGCTATTGTTTACATTAATGAACGATCATTCAAAAAGGAGCCTAGTTGGGTGTTTGAGTTTTTCTATGATATATTATGATTTCAATCATTGAAGGAACACATATTTTGATCTTGGAGAAAGATAAGGTAAACAAATATTCTGATTGAGTTTTGTTGTCGTTTAATTTGATATTAAGTTTTCAGTATAATAAATAAAGATTTGATGCCTACCGGTCACGAAAAGAAAATTTCAGAAGAAAATTGAAAAAATCAATCAATAACCCCATATGTGTCTTTAATTTTTCAACATTCCAGCCTTCATCGGCCTATTGGATATTTTCTTTTCCTTTTTATTTGCGTGTTCTTAAATTCTAAAAGAAAGATATATGCATTTCCACATTTTCCATAAAATATATCAGTTACGTTTCAATATGAATGCCGACCGATAGAAAATTTACGAATGATAATTCTGAGAAAAAGGAGACCTGAAATTTCAGCAAAAAATAATCAGCTGACAGAAAAGAGACTAAGTGGACGTCTAATTGATACTTGTAATAAAAGGGATGATTCTGACATAGCAGCAACTTGCAAAGTCAATAAACTGCTGTCCACAGGCAGTTGAAAATAAACATTCTACTTCAAAGGAACACTGTGCATGAAAAAAATATTATTCTTCACGGTAACAAATTTCATCAAATAGACATAACAGGGAAATTTAACTGACTCGCTGCAATTTATTAATTTGAATAAAATACTCAGTTATGACTTCGAACATACGGATTTTTTTTAGATAAGTGAAAAACACAACAATGACGCAAAATTCGTTTGTCTTTGCTGAGATCTTTAAACACATATTTTGCATCGTCTCCTTTTAACCTTGTATGTCAAATACAACAAAAATGTGTTGAAAAATAAAATTAAATTGTAAGTCAATTAACAATCAAATCATGCAAATCCTCACCAATTTGTTTTTTTGCCTCTTCTGAAAAATAGGAAAATAAAATTTTATTTTATTTCTTGTTGTTTATTAAATGATATTTGATTTATGATTGATTACGTTTGGTTTGGTTAAAAACTGAAATTCATTGAGACTTAAGCTTAGGAATATGAACTTGCTTGATTCTTAGATAAATAAGATGCATTTGAATATGGTAACCGTGTTTGATGTTGCTTAAATGTATTTTCTAAACGTTGATATGAGAACATGACACATTACGAAAATATGCATCCAATCGTCGTGACGATTTACTAGAATAGTAAACCAACTATTGATGACAATTACTAGAGTTATCTAAATCATTTACCAATTTAGTTTACTGTAGTCTTTCTTTTGTCAGCTTATAAGTTAGCTAAATCGGGAAAATCAGTTCAATGTATTAAAATTTGTAGTTAGGGACATGTTAGGACTGGTTTTGCTTTTTAGGTTGAATATTTTAGTGACCGTAGATGGTTTGTATATGACGTCCGCTTCAGATTTGACTTCTTTGTTGATTAATATCGCATATGCACCATATGCTTGTTTAAAATAGAGGTGTCATTTAAATAATACAAAAGAACAAACAAAACACTATTGAATAGGCGGTTAATCCTAAAAAGACAGTTATTCATTTATTCTTCTATGACAAGATAACTAGAGTGTAGACATTTCCCGTTTGAAAACAGACAACAACGGTGCTAGGCGTTATATCAGTGTGGTTTTTTTTTCTTGTCTGCAAAAACGTCAATTTACGTCAATGGATTAACTATAATACTTGGATTTAACCATTCCTGACGAATATAAATTCAGAAAAGTGCTTCGGACACATGGCATAGTAAAGTTTTGTTTTCATTTACTTACATTGGGTTAATACCACTTATGGTGGCCTGTTAGTCCCTAAGGGTGTCATTAGAACAGTAATTAGTTATTCAATACTGGCATGAGTTATAATTTTTTTTTTCTAAATTGAGAAATTACTAAGAATCTTTTGTTGAAACTCCCTCAGATAAAACAACCGAATTTTGGCTTTACTTTTCATGTCCCTATTGGTAGTATCGGTCCTAACGTTTGTACATATTTATACATTCTTGGTCATACAGGCATAATTTCGTTTGATCGTTCACGGTGAAGGCAATTCAAGAAAAACGCGTCGGACGCTTGATATGTATAAAGTGTGGGGTTTTTTTTTCATTCGCGAAGGAGCAACATTGGCTTATTTTGTTAAACGTAATATTATCGTTATTTCTATGACACAAACTTGGCGAGTTTAAATAGTGAAACCTACATGTTCATGATTAGTATTTTCTTATTATATACTTTAAAATACACACTTGTTTATTCAGAAGTAAAGCTTGAACTTCTTTAAAATAAATGTTTGAATTTCGTAAAAACATTATTGGTTTCTTCAACTTTTATTATTTTTTTTATTAATTCATGTTTTTCAAACAGTGGTTACTGTGATCATAACATTAACAACAAATGACACGTTTGAGTCACACTGAGTTGCAACGTGTTGAGTAAAGATGTAGCTTATGTGACCTTGCAGGCAATAAGTAGTAAATTTATGACCTACTACTTTTTATTCATAAATCTAAAACGTTTTTTGATGTTGGATATCGCTTTTCAATGATAATACTTTCAAATTAACAAATATTAAAAATACTATTTTTAAATGGTATTTACAAAAGATAGTTGCCGTAAAATTCTGATATTGTCGTGGATTTTAAATGAAATAAAGTAGAAGCAACTCCCATGCTATTACGTTTTTTGTCAATGGTAGATACACCACATTTTTTTATGCTTTGAAATAATTGGCGGGACAAAATTCTGTTCACATTCGTCGTTCTTAGTACGTTCTTCTGCATGTTATTTCAAGTAGAATTTCGGTACCTACTTATCACAGATTATAAACAAATATCCTAACACTAACATTAACACTAAGAGTACATTATACTGTAGATCTAGAATATTTGTAATTAATTGTGCAGTACAGAAATGTAATGTAAGGCTATGTCATGCAGTCATGCAACTATAATATATATTGAAAGATTTTGTTCTTGAAATATTAGTAGTATGGAACGATTTACCAATTAAGTTCAAATTTATCTTTATTTCTCTAAGCTTTAGAAAATTTAATCGAAAACAGTAATTGAGTGTATCAAATTTTGAGGAACATGTAGGGACTGCTCGTGCATTTCAGGGAAAATTTGTGAATGACCGAAGATGACTTGCATAGGATATCTGCTTGGGATTTGTTTTAATTGTTACTGTTTATCGTAGGCGGACCTTATAATTGTTTTTAGGTTGAAATGTCATTAAGTACATGTAGTATACAAGGTTATATCTTAAAAAACACAAGTAAATTTCGTGTGAAATTCACCTGCTGCATTTTGTAACTGTTGAATCAATCTTGATGAGTGTTTTCATATAGATAGCCGACTATTGAGCACACTTTTCAACCAATACCGAATTGAACAGATGCAGCAGTATATATTCAGTCTAAAGGTGTCGTTAAAAAGGACAATTTACAATGGTTGTAACAAATGACTCTAACACAGGTGCTATTCAACCATCATCAATCGGTTAGTACTGAAAATATTGTAGCCCATTTCACAAGTACATGCACTTTAACATTCCTGTCCCCTTGAATTATAAAACAGAACTAAAACACTCAGGATAAAATTATTAGGTGAGTTTTCACAACAAGACAGGAATTAGATTATGATCTATGCTAAGATATATAGAGTTTTGACTTTTTCCGTTTCAAACAATGAACCACCGATTTTGTCTTCATTGTCTTTCTTATCAGAAAAAAGCAATCACAATCACGTCAAGGGTTTAATTATAATATATCTCCGCTTGCAAATGCATAAAATCCGATTACTTCGATATTTTCTCTCCCGTTCACTTTTTTTTAAAATACGTTGTACAGGGTTAGGCTTGACACTGCTGTTATCATCAATTTTATCTATATTTTCTTACAAGTTCTTGATGTATAGTGCACATGCTATGACACGGTGTATATTCAGAATGCCTGTTTTCCGATTCAATCGCCGGTAACGCTTGTTTTCCGATTCAATCGCCAGTAATGCTTGCTTTCCGATTCCGGAAACGCATACTTTCCGGTATAACTAAAGAAAATTACAAAAAGGGTTGAAAAATAGGTTGCTGTAATCTTTAAGAAAATATCAAATTACAATTGCCTTAAATGACATTCAATTTGAACAAAACAAATAACTATGTTTCCAATTTCATAATCTGCTGTTTCTTTAAAGGTTAAATGAAAAAGTAATGTCGGTTACACTAGAACTTCGTTGTATTGCAAAACAGACTTTGCAGCCAAACATATCCAAATATTAACAATCTCATCCTTTACGAATCTATCTTTTTAAACACTGTTTCTGTTTAAAGGTTTTATATTTCATGAATATACAACATATCAGACCACAAATGATTTAACATGTTAAACAGGTTTATTTTCCGTTTTCTTAAATTTGACTTGTAACGCTTACTATAAGATTTGAGGGTTGCAAGTTCATTCGAATATAATATGTCCAAACATGTTTCATTGTAGCTATTGTTTACATTAATGAACGATCATTTAAAAAGGGGCCCGGTTGGGTGTTTTGAGTTTTTCTATGATATATTATGATTTCCATCAATGAAGGAACACATATTTTGATCTTGGACAAAGATAAAGTAAAAAAATATTCTGATTGAGTTTTGTTGTCGTTTAATTTGATATTAAGTTTTTATAATGATTTGATGCCTACTGGGTACGAAAATAAAATTCCAGAAAAAAATTTAAAAAGTCAACCAATAACCCCATATGTGTCTTTAATTTATCAACATTCCAGCCTTGATCGGCCTATTGGATATTTTTTTTTTTTCCTTTTTATTTGCGAGTTCTTAAATTCTAAAAGAAAGATATATTCATTTCCACATTTTCCATAAAATATATCGGTTACATTTCAATATAAATGTCGACCGATTGAAAATTTACGAACTGATAATTCTGAGAAAAAGGGAGACCTGAAATTTCGACAAAAACAATCAGCTGACAGAATAGAGACTAAGTGGACGTCATATTGGTACTTGTAATAAAAGGGATGATTCTGACATAGCAGTAACTTGCAAAAGTCAATAAACTGCTGTCCACAGGCAGTTGAAAATATATTATTATTCTTCACGGTACCAAATTTTTTTACCAAGTTTCATCAAATGGAAATAACAGGGAAATTTAAATGACTCGCTGCAATTTATTAATTTGAATAAAATACTCAGTTATGACTTCGAACATACGGATTTTTTTGAGATAAGTGAAAAACATAACAATGACTCAAAATTCGTTTGTCTTTGCTGAAGAATTTAAACACATTTTTTGCATCGTCACCTTTCAACTTTTTATGTAAAGTACAACAAAAATATCTTTAAAAAAAATAATTAAATTGTAAATCAATAAACAATCAAATCCAGCTAATACTCACCACTTATTGTACTGTCCTCTACCATGTCTACTGAAAAATAGGAAAATATTTTTTAAATTTAATATTGTTGATAAAATTATACTTGATTTAGGGTTGATTACGTTTGGTTTGGTTAAACACTCAAATTCATTGAGACTAAAGCTTAGGAATATGATCTTGCTTCACTTCTAACAGTAAACTAACTATTGGTGACAATTACTAGTGTTATGTAGTCGTTTACAAATTTAGTTAGGTGTAATTTTTATTTTGTCAACTAAAAAAAGCTAAATTGAGAAAGTCAATTCAATGTATAAACATTAAGCTAGAGACTGTAAGGACTGCTTGCGCTTTTCATGCTAAATGTGTGAGTGAGCCAGGATTGCTTGTAAATGACGTCTGCTTGATATTGGTCTTGATTGTTAATTAATATCGATTGTTTGATTGGGCACCTTATGACTGCTTTATATAGATGTGTCATTTTAGTTATGTAAAATATCTAACAAAACATTAATGATAACATGAATAGGCAGTTGTTCCCATCAAGACAGTTATTCAATTATTCTCTTAGAACAAAATATACAAATTGTCGACTTATCTCGTTTAAAAGAATGCACCAACGGTGCTTGGTGTTTTTGTCTGGATTGTTTTGTCTTCTTATTCAACACAAACAAAAGTTAAAGTATCTTTTTCTTAATATATTTACGTTTTATATAAAATTAACCATCTAAAGGTATTTATAATGACTGATTTCAAATGACATTGCATTATTTCTGATATAACAAAATAAATAATTTGCATTTTTAAGCAATGTTAACGAAATTTTAGAATCTTTTCCCTGAAATTCAGCATATTTTACCAAAAACAACCTATCATGATGTACAAAAAGCACTACAATCAAATGGCGGGTAATAATTTGGCAAATAGCATTGCATTATTTTGGATAAAAAAAAGAAATATTGGCATATTTAAACAATGCGAACACATTTTTTCTCTGATATAGACCATTATTTGTAAAATACAACCCAGCCTCGTGTATAAAAAGTACTAAAGTCCAGTGGTAGTTCATGATTTCCATTAAAATAAAGAAATAACTGCACTCTTAATCACCCAAAACATAGTTTTCGGTATCTTTACTGTTATGTTATTTTTATTTTCATCATCTAGTGACATTAAAATTCATAATTGCTTAATAGGGTACTTGTTTCAAATGATAACATTTTATTTCTTTTTAGTGATACAGAAATATTCTGAGCATGACATTATTCTGCACTAAATTAATTTATTTGGCAGAAAAATAAGAGAACCTATAACAATGTATAATGAAAAAATACAGATAATGCATGAAAAGTAATTTATACATATTTTTTTATGTGCTTTTGCGACAAAGTTGATTACAAATTAACGAATAAAGATGTCTTCGTAGAGGTCCGCGTTTATCGCATGTAAATACTGTGGAGTTCGTTTTACATAAGAATTTTAAATATGTACGTATCTGTCTGATCCGTGCATATAATTAATTTACTGATTGATCGCTGACCGTTGTCACGGTAACTCTCACATAGCTTATTTGACTTATCTGACGGATTCAATGGGTCATCAATCACCGATCAATCATCGATCAGTCAAACATCCGTCACCAATCATTTATCGATTAGTAAAGTTCCCGTCAAACAGTAACGCCTAAGGTTGCAAGTACTGTACCACATTTAAAGGTATCCAAATTTTATTTATTCTGTTTGATGTGTGGTTTTATGTCAATGATTTATTGATTGATAAGTGATCAACTTTCAGCATTATTGTGCTATTTCGTGGCAGTCAGTTTTTATTGGTGGAGAACGAAGGAGTTCTTGGAGAGAAAACAAAACCTTCAATAGGAAACTGACAATCCTAGTCAGTTAAGATTGGGATCCAGTGCACCTGCCACATGGGGGATGCAAAATGCACAACCTAAGTGCTAGACTGCTAGTGATATTTTTGAAAATAAAATACTTCAAACTGGCCTAAGCATTTACAAATGATTTACTCAGTAGATTTTTTTGTTAATGTTGTTGAATTATGCTGAAACTAGATTTACTAGTGCAATATTATACTAGTTCAATTGACTTGAAAAGCACTCATCAAAAATACCAGCTCTTTTAACAAAAAGTCCTAAGGAGTATAAAATACTTGTATGCCATACACTATTCAGTTACTTACGGGCAATTTTAATCATAAGATTTTTTGTGAAAAAAGTCGCAGGTTTATGAAAATTAGAAGGCGAGTTCCAACAGACAACCATCTGAGTTAAATAGACAAAGAATTACAAGATAACAATTATAGAAAATTCACCGTTGCAAACACAGATGAAAAAAATAATGAAAAACTATGAAAATAGCTGACTGAGTACTTATAACCAAAAAACTTTAGATTTTTGTTGTATTGATTTCAAACTACCAGTACGTTTTATACATCTAAATATAGGAACATCCTAAAATAGCATATATTAATTTGACTAGTTTTATTCTTAATATTTTGTGTTTTTTCAGGGGTAAAAGTAGAAGAAGAAGAAATAACAGGTACAGAATAATGAAAAGCAACATATTAATGAACATTAACTTGAAATTGAAATTTTCTTTATGACGTAGTCTGAATATGAACATTGGGAGATGTTGGATACACATTAATGAGACAACAAGCCAGCAGTACAATCACAACAGATATTTGGAGGCCAACTTAAACTTCATGAGAAAATGAAATTGGTGGTTTTCGATGAAATTTGAATACATGTGATATTGATTGATAGTAAGATACTCGTTGAGCCTTTGATACAATTTGTATAGTTTATTTAGATTTATTGTTTTAGATAGTATATCATTATTAAAATAAAGATATGTGGTATGATTGCCAATGAGACAACTTTTTCAGATTTTTTTAATATTTTCTTTTCTTGTCTGGTTATGTCTTTCATATCCACTTCATATTGACTTCCCTCTGTGTGATTGTGATTGGTCGTTTATTTTTCTTGTATGTGTTTATTGAATAGCATTTTTTTAAGAGTCATTGCATTGAATATTAAATGCATTGAATAAAAGTTTTCCATAATAAGAAATTACGTTATTTTCTAAACCCTAATAATCGTTTGACAGTGATTCATTATATATATGTTAAATTACTATCGTATATCAAAAGGGCAATATGACAATTATTTAGGCAAATGCCATAAGAACAAAAAGAAGAGATTCCTGCAGGAAGGAAAATGCGCCAAAGGGGGAGACAATGTTCTTGAAAAGAATGCCCCATACCGATAACCACAAATAACGTCATTTTCTTATCAGGTAATAAGTATCCTTCAAATTTGTGACTACAAATAATCCTCTTCTGTTAAACTTGTGAAAGCTGCAGAGTCACTACGCATGGAATAGTAAAGTGTTGTTTTTATTTACTTATATTGGAACAAAAACACTTATGATGGACTGTTAGTTCCTAAGTGCGTCAATAGCTCAATAATTAGTTACTCAATATTTTTTTCTAAATTAAGAAATTACTAAGTATCGTATGTTCAAACTCCCTCAGATAAAACAGCCGAATTGGGCTTTACTTTTCATGTCCCTATTGGTAATATTGGTCCTAACGTTTGTACATATTTATACATTACTGGTCATAGAGGCATATTTTTGTTTAAGCGTTCTTAGTGAAGATAATTCAAGAAAACGCGTCGGACGCTTGATATGTAGAGAGTGTGCGTTTTTTTTTTATTTATTCTCGAAGGAGCAACATTGGATTATTTTTTCAAACATAATATGATCGTTATTTTCATTAAACAAACATGGTAAATTTTATTAGTGAAGTTTGCATGTTCATGATTATTAATTTTCATATTGTATATATAATTCAAAATACACACTTGTATATTCAAAACTAAAGCTTGAACTTCTTAAAAATAAATGTTTGAATTTCGTAAAAACATTGTTGATATCTTCAATTTTTATTATATTTTTTTTTATTGATTCATGTTTTTTTCAAAGTGGAAACCGTGAGCATTACATTAAAAACAAATGACACGTTTGAGTAACTCTGAGTTGCAACGTGTTGAGTAAAGTTGAAGCTTATGTAACCTTGCATGCAATCAGTAGTAAATTTATGACCTACTACTTTTATTCATAAATCTTAAACGTTTTTTGAAGTCGGATCTCGCTTTTGAATGATAATACTTTCAAATTAACAAATATTAGAAATACTATTTTCGAATGGTATATAAAAAAGATAACTGCCGTAAAATTCTGAAATTCAAGTGGATTTTAAGTGAAATAAAAGCACAAGCAAATCTCATATTGTTACGTTTATGGTCAATGGTACATAAATCATTTTTTTCTGGCGGGATATTATTCTGTTCAAATTCGTTGTACTGTAGGACTAGGATTTTTGTAATTAATTTTGAAATATAGAAATGTAATGTAAGGCTATGTCACGCAGCCATGCAACTATAAAAGATATTAGCTAAACGAAAGATTTTGTGCTTGAAATATTAGTTGTATGGAACGATGTACCAATATAGTTCAAATTTATCCTTAATTCTGTAAACTTTAGATAGCAGTTTAATAGAGAAAAAATAATTTAGTGTATCAAATTTTAGGGACATATATGGAATGCTTGTGCATTTTAGGGAAAATTTGTGAATAACGGAGATGGATTGGTAATATTTTAGTATCTTTTCCCTGGAATTCAGCATGTTTTATGAGTAACAACCTATCCTGGTGTACAAAAAGTACTAAAATCAAACGGCGGTTCATGATTTCCATTATGATAAAGAAATTATTGCATTCTTATTCAACACAAACAAAAGTTAAGGTATCTTTATCCTTATATCATTCACATCTTATATAAAACAATTATCTAAAGGCATTTACAAAGACTGATTGCAAATGACTTTGCATTATTTCTGATATAAAAGAAGAAATATTTGCATTTTTAAGCTGTGCAAACAAAATTTTAGTATCTTTTTCCTGAAATTCGGCATATTTTATGAAAAACAATTAATCCTGATATACAAAAAGTACTAAAGTCAAATGGAG